ACATTACTTTATTTGTAATAACTGTTTTCAATAATTAATTGATACTGTCCTATTATTCCTCTCCTCTGCATCAGGTATATAAGCCCTCATTTCCACGGACAAAAATTGTTTTACGACACTAGAAAATGGCAATGTTTCTTCGCTGATGCCAAAGGTTCGACTCCATTCCCATACATAGGAATCGTACTCGAGTTAACGTGTCTGATTTTAGGCCTTTTTTCCGGCGCCAAGAGGTGTAGTACTACAGATTCCCATGACTCCGCCCCTATTTATGGGGGCGGAGTCATATATAAGCAACTGCACCTGGCTGATGAGCGCGCGGAGCACCTCTGCTCGTTTTAAAACTGGAAGAAAATGGGAATTTCAAAGTTGATGCTGCACTGTATGGTGCACTATTAGTAACTGATGATGTTAATGAGGATATTATTGCACTAAGTACTAGGTTGAAAGCATTTACGCGCGCGCGCGAGTGTATATATGTGTGCAAATATGCATATATATTATATATATACATACATACCTATATATACAATATACACACACACATATATTTAAACATATGTATACACACATGCATATATATATATATATATATATATATATATATATATATATATATATATATATATATATATATATATATATATATATATATATTATATATATACACATATATATATATACATATATATATATATATTATATATATATATATATATATATATATATAATATATATATATATATATATATATATATATATAATATATATATATATATATATATATGATATATATATATATATATATATATATATATATATATATATATATATATATATATATATATATATATATATATATATATATATATATATATATATATATATATATATATATATATATATATAATATATATATATATATATATATATATATATATATATATATATATATATATATATATATATATATATGACATATATATATGACATATATATATGCATTATATGACATATATATATGACATATATATATATATATATATATATATATATATATATATATATATATATATATATATATATATATATATATATATATATATATATATATATATACATATATATATATATATATATATATATATATATATATATATATATATATATATATATATATATATATATATATATATATATATATATATATATATATATATATATATGATATATATATATATATATAAAATATATATATATATATACATATATATATGATATATATATATATATATATATATATATATATATATATATATATATATATATATATATATATATATATATATATATATATATATCATATATATATATATATATATATATATATATATATATATATATATATATATATATATATATATATATATATATATATATATATATATATATATATATATATATATATATATATATATATATATATATATAATATATATATATATATATATATATATATATATATATATATATATATATATATATATATATATATATATATATATATATATATATATATATATATATATATATATATATATATATATATATATTTATGCATATATATATATATATATACATATACATATATATGCATTATGTATGTATATGTATACATATACATATATGCAGAAAATAAGTATAAAAATATACAATACTACCATATATAATAATATAGAGTTTAAGGTTTATATGCTTTCGTATTAATAGGGTTACGGCTAAGAAGAGCGAAGTTCAGGTTTATCTTTCGTATGTGTATATTTTTATGCGATATGTCATGTAACGCTTGTTACTGTTTTTCTTATATCATTTATGCTTTAATCTTGCGCAATATTCAGGCCTCCACAAGTGTTCCATATACGGGGAACTATCTCATGTTTTACTTACAGAATGTTTTCGAATGGTCAAAAGAATATTATGAAAATTTATATTAGGTTTTACATACTTATTTTACTTACTATGTATATATAATTGAATGTGCTGACGTAAACTTATATATCCTTTTGAATGTAGTTGATATCAATCAATAAATAGTGTCATTTTCAAAATATTTAAAGAAGTGTGACCTTCGAAACCATTGTCGATGGACGAATGAAGAAGTATGATGGGAGGCGCTTAGGGCCCGCGCATTTTCAACTGATTTCGATAGTTTTCCGTCGTTTGATTTGTAATTTGAAGATGTTGATAACTAACAACTTGTATTTATTGTTAATTCCTAATGTTACATCAGTAAACCAGTGATTTGTTAATTGATACAATTCAAAAACAAAATCAGATTCGTCAACTCGAGTTCAATTCCTAGGAATAGGGGTGGAGCCGCACATGTGGCAACAGCGTAGAAGCATCGGCAGCGTTGCTGTCGCGATCGGCCCGGAGAAGTGTCGCAAAGGAAAAAAAAACGACACCTTCTAGTGTAGTTAGACAGTTTCTTGGCACCGGAAAAAGGCCTTTTGTTTTTGAATTGTATTGTATGATTAATCACTGTTTTACTTATATTACTTTAGGAAATAGCAATAAACACGTTGTTAGTTATTAACACTTGAAATTACACTCAAACGACAGAAAACTATCGAGAGAAATATCAAATATCAATATTTCCTTACTAGTAAAAATGTTTTCCCGTATCACCTGTGAGATATTTCTTAGAATCACATAAAGACAATGTATATTTACTTATATAGATTTACAAATATTTTTTTGTTGTAAAAAAGAAAAATGGCTGATAAGAACAAATGTTCATACTTTTTGTTGTTTTATTCTATTTATTTTTGACTAATGGTAGATGGCCAAAGGTCGCTGCATCTACCTATTTCAAGTCGAGGTCAAAATATAATTTACCGTGAGGGTAGGGATAGAAAATTCCATTGTAAAGTGTATTTTTTTCCAGTTTTCTCTGAATAATAGTTTCCAACACAAAGTAGACCCTCGCTTTATGTTGGAGGCCTGGGACCACCTGGGGAAGTGGCCGTGGGTGTCGACGTGAACAACGGAGGCGCTCCTCTGGCCGGAAGTCGGTGTGTTCAGTTCAGTTCAGTTTGATTTGCGGACTAGATTCGCCCGGGCCTTTTCTCTAGAGTGGCGTGGCCTGTGTCAGGATTTGTTGATGAGCTGCAAAAATGCAAACTCCCCTGCAAGTCCTGAGAGCGAGATGATGGGGTGGGAAATCCCATCAGATCCCGGTGTTGATCCAGAGCTGGTTTTGTATGTTTTTCTTAGTTTCCTGAGAGAACATGGCATCCGAGTCAACTGGTTCGAGTGCCTTGTCTCTGATGAGAGCAACCCTGCCTGGATTTAGGCTTTGTTGTTTATCCCTCAGCACAGGAGGCAGGTTGTTGCTGCTGGTTCTAGCTGAGAACCCACTTCCACAACTCTGTAAGGCTGGTCTGGGGACCAAAGGACTGGCACCATTCCAGCCATTTTTCCTGCCTTACTAGGTTGGCAGTTTCCTTGGCATCCACAACAGCTTCCCTCAAGAGAGCTAGGTTGTCGGGAGTTCTTTGCCGTCGGAGGTTTTTTTCTGCACATGTTGACTCTGTGGTTGACCTCTTTGATCTCGTCATTATAGTACCAGGCGTCTTTGTGAGTTGTGGACCATGGACGAGTTTTAGGTATGGTTTGTGATGCTGCCTAATTTATGGCCTGGACTAGTCTTGCCTCAAGCATGTCCACATTTTCATTGTTTTGGGGTTCATTGTCTCTCAGACAGTGGGCCAAGCCTTTCTGGAAGGCTTGCCAGGTGGCCTTGTCTATTTATTATTTGGGAATGTGTTGCAGTCTTTGGGCTGGACCAAAATCTATGAGGATAGTGACTGTGCCATAGTGATCACTTGTAACCGTATCATCGACACACCACCGAATTCTCTCCACCATTGTTGCAGTGGCAAAGGTAAGGTCCAGGACTCCTCTCTTCACATGCGTTGGTTCTTGGGTGTTGAGAAGAGCGATCTCAGGGAACGATAAAGCATCTATACACGCCTCTCCTCGGGATTCCAACCGCGCTTACCCTCCCTTCGGCTCATTTGCACAACGACACCACACACATACATACACTACTGTTGCCCCTTTCCACAATTCTTTTGGCACAGCTTCCCTTCATATATCAAAAACTCGTTCCCGAACGTATTAATCGGGTGGTGGCAGTGAGCTTTACACCTCTTGAAAGAGCCAGGTACGTATATTAATTAGTAAACGCTACAAGAGCACATTCTCTAACAGCTATAGGGTTGGCCAGGAAGTAAACGCAACCACTGAGTAGCTTTTGGTACGGCGCTCACTGGACCTGTGTGAGGCCAGGCAACACAGCGACTGCTTGACCCTAGCCTCCCTTAGGAGACCAGCCAATTGATCTGACCGGGCCAATCAGGCCACCCGTCTTGCTGGAATGGAGGACCAAAGAGGCGTGTTGTTAGCCGGGGGGCGTACTCACTCACGGCATCGCGCAACCTCCAGGACTCCCTCCTCCTCAGGGCACAGGGCTGCCATGCGCGGCAAACGCATGGGTAGGTCATAAAACCTCTGGGGAGAGGCCACAAGGGCGGCAAACCCTCCCTGGTGCTGTGCGTGATCATCGTCTGCCTCACATGTGTATGCTTTGTTGCAGCTGTTGTGTGTGTGTGTGTGTGTGTGGTGTGTGTTTGTTTGTATTTTTGTGTGTGTGTGTGTGTGTGATGTGTGTATAAGTATGCGTGTGTATCCGCACCCACGCACGAACACATACACACATGCTCGCGTATATATGTATTTGTGTATGTGCGTGAATAAATATTCTACTGGCAATGTTGTGATGTGGACACGCAGGTGTGCCACACGTATACAAGTGTATCGAGCGCGCTGTATTGCTTCAATGCACAAAGAGCAGACGCCTTTCGAGGGACACGTCGAGTGCCTCTCTTGTTCACTCACGAAGAACCCTTTTCCCCTCTCGAGTGCCGGGAGTCGCG